GGGTAGGGGATATCAGCCGTTGGATTGATTTAATCCAACGGTCCTTGATGGAGTGTGACCAAAAAAGTCGTCGTTTGGATTTACTCATGAGTTGGGCCGGACAGGTTGGTTTGGATTGGGCTGTGAGGGGGGAATTAATTCGATTTGGGCCTGGATTTTAATCTAGGTCCGATTTTGTGTATATGTATTATATTTTTTTTTCATTTTTTCTAATTAGATTTCTAATTTTAATTATAAAACAATTTTAACTTCACAAAAATATATTAATTATTCTATAACAATTATTTAACACATAGATAAAACGTCAATCACACAGTGAAATATTTAAAATAGAACTATTGCATATTTTTTGTGATTTTGTTTAAATTATCTTTTTAATTACATAATTAAATCCTATATGCATGCAACATGTATTTTATTTTATTTTTTCATTCTATTATGACACCGTAAATATTTACGGACATAAAACAAATATTTAACATCACGCAAATTCAAAAATTACACAGTAAAAGAAATTTATTTTATTTTTTGATTTATTTTGGAGTAGTTTTCATAAGGCAAAAATCACGTGCTCACAGTGGGATGGAATCAAACGGTTGTTGATCAGATACAACCAACATTTCGCTTCAAAAGTGAGCGCGGAGGAATGGAACTTCTCACCATATTGCATCCAAACCACATCTTTCCCCGGTGCACAGATTGTTTCAAATAATCTTTGCCACTTTTCCTGTGTGGGGTTCCGGCCATACTCATAGAAGTTGTCATAATCAATGACAGGAGGGGGTAGCTGGTACGCCGTCCTTATCGCTTCAACAGAGGCATTCACCGCTTTTCGTCGTACTGTGATGATTCCATTGTCATTTTCAGGTGCGTTGGCATAAAATTCCCTCACAACCATTACATTACCCTCACCAGGCTCATTTATGAATGTTTGTGGCCCACGTCTCATCAACTTGTCATACATGTGAGGGTAAGTCGTTGGAGCGATCGGACGCCAATACCCCTCTCAGGAATTGGCTTTTTAGAAGCCTTCTCAGCAAAGCGGTCCTGGGCTTTAGCCGAGATAAATTTGGTATTATCGAAAGGGCATTCAGTGGTAGCCCCGCGTGTCCTAGATGAGCTTGCTTGTCTGCTAGAAGATGGACCGGTTGTGCGTTGTTTCTTCGTTGGAGCCATTGTACCTGAAGAACGTTAACAAATAAGTACTTCCCAACCCAAAAAATTGTGACGCACTGCGGTTACTCAGACTTTACACGTATACGTGGTCACAATTACATAACGACACTCACTGAGGCCTTTTTACAAACACCTTGTGGGCATTAGGCACTCACAACTTATTCCAAGCAATATACAACATAAACCACCACCAATTCTTTCAAAGGTCCCAATTTAAGTAAAACAACACTCTACAATTCGCAACTCCACAAATACTACAATAATTATTACCAAATCTACTACTAACAAACAAATAAAGAAATAACCATATAAAAGAAAGCACACTTAAACACACAAAAATCTGCAGAGATTATGTGAAAACAAAGAAAGAAAATTGAAACAAGAATAACATACCTGTAGTGAGAGTGAGGAGTAGATAAGAGGCTTAAAGGGGAATGTTGTTGGAGACTTAGTTGAAGATGAAAATCTTCTGGAAGAAGGGAGTGGAAGAAGAAAAGAATATGAGTTGTGAGAGATTGGGAAGGGTTTTGTGAATTGTTTTAGGGCGTGTGTTTTAGTGTGTGTGAGGGGGGGGGTTGTTAGATGTGGGTTATTAGATGANAAAAAAACTTCCCTGAGTAGTGCGTTCAGATGCGCGATCGCGCTAGTCTAGCGCGTCCAAGGCAGAGAGTTTTTCCAATTTAGCGCGTTCACTAGCACGACCATTAGTGAGATCGCGCTAGTAGCGTGGCCAGTAGCGCGGTCCAGGCAGAAAGTTTTGTCAATTTAGCGCGTTCACAAGCGCGGCCGCGCTAGGAGGCTTCAATTTTTTTTTTTACAATTTTCACCTGATTTTTCCATTTTTCGATTGTCTTATCACCCGCCCATTGTCACCTGCATTGGTTAGCATTTTCAAAAACTCACAATTAACCACTACTACTACTGTCAGGTTGCCTCCCGACCAGCGCCTTAGTTAACGTCGTGGCACGACGTAGATCAATCGCATTTAAGGCTCGCTCGACCTTTGTGGTTCAACGAGAAGTATGACAGATAGCTCTTTCGGTTCATCCATCCCCACATACAGTTTGAGTCGTTGTCTATTAACCTTGAAGGTGTTAGTGCTATCTTCACTGGTTATCTCCACAGCCCCTGACAGGAACACTTCGGTCACCCTGAATGGCCTAGACCATCGGGACTTAAGCTTACCAGGAAAAAATCTCAACCTCGAATTGTACAATAATACCTTGTCTCCGGGTTTGAAATTTTTGTCCACGATGTGTTTGTCATACAACATCTTCATTCTTTCCTTGTAAAGTCTCGTGCTTTCAAAGGCGTGATATCTGAATTCCTCCAACTCATGTAACTTTGTCAGTTGATTTTCTCCAGCCTCATCAGGGTTCATGTTCAATTGCTTTAGTGCCCACCAAGCTCGATGTTCTAACTCCAAAGGCAAGTGACAGGCCTTCCCAAATACCAACTTGTACGGTGACATACCGACAGGTGTTTTGAATGCAGTCCTATAGGCCCAGAGCGCAGCTTTTTCGCCCAATCAGTTCTTGTGGCGTTTACAATTTTAGTGAGCACACTCTTGATCTCACGGTTTAAGACCTCTACATGTCCGCTTGTTTGAGGGTGATACGGGGTTGCCACCTTATGGTGCACGTCATATTTGGCTTGTAACTTCTCAAAGACACGGTTGCAAAAGTGCGTGCCTCCGTCACTAATGATGGTCTCGGAATCCTGAATTGGGTGAATATATTCTTCTTCAAGAACCCAACCACCACCCTCGAATCATTGGTGGGGAATGTTGCAGCTTCCACCCATTTGGATACATAATCTACTGCAACAAGTATGTACTTATTACCGTAAGAACTGACGAAGGGACCCATGAAATTAATTCCCCATACATCGAACACCTCAACTTGCTGAATTGGATTCATGGGCATCTCATGTCTACGGGATATGTTTCCCATTCTTTGGCATTCGTTGCAGCCCTTTACCCATTGGTGAGCATCCTTAAAGATTGTTGGCAAGTAGAACCCGACCTCTAACACTTTCACTGCTGTCCGAACTCCTCAAAAATGTCTTCCATAAGGTGACGCGTGACAAGCCTGCAAAACAGAACATTTTTCTATCTCGGAGATGCATCTCTGGATCATGTTGTCAATACAAATTTTAAACAAAAGTGGTTCATCCCAGTAGTAGTTTCGGCAATCACGATAAAATCGTTTCTTTTGAACATAGGAGAGTTCATATGGTTCAATGCCGCATGCCAAATAGCTTGCAATATCAGCATACCATGGCACATCGTCCACACTTGTGGCTAGCAGCTGCTCGTCTGGAAAGTTTTCCAGAATATCCTCAAACTCAATTGCATTTTCAGCACCTTCAAGGCGTGACAAATGATCAGTGACTTGGTTCTCCGTGCCCCTACGGTCATGAATCTCCAAGTCAAACTCTTGCAGAAGCAGCACCCAACGAATTAGGCACGGCTCCCATTACCTTATTCTTGTGTTGTCCCAACACGGCTCCCATAACGTAGTCACTAGCATCACACATGAGTTCAAACGGTTGCTCCCAGTCGGGAGCAATTATAATTGGTGCTATGACTAGCCGCTTCTTTAGTTCCTCAAAAGCCACCCTGCAATCATCAGAAAACACAAAATGGGTTATTTTTTTCGAGCAGCTTGCAGAGGGGATTGGCGATCTTGGAAAAATCCTTGATGAATCGCTGGTAGAAGCCAGCGTGTCCGAAGAAGCTACGAATAGCCTTGACTGATATGGGAGGTGGAAGTTTTTCTATCACGTCGACTTTGGTTCTGTCAACTTCAATCTCTTTACTCGACACTAAATGTCCCAAGACGATTCCTTCTTGTACCATGAAGTGGCACTTCTCCCAATTCAACATTAGATTCGTCTCGATGCACCTCTTCAGTACACGGTTTAAATTTGTTAGGTATTCATCGAACGAATTTCCCACCCCTGAAAAATCATCCATGAAGACCTCCATAATGTCTTCCACCATGTCTGTGAAAATGGCCATCATGCACCGTTGGTATGTTGCAGGTGCATTACAAAGACCAAATGGCATTCTCCTGAAGGCAAACACTCCGTAAAGGCAAGTAAATGAAGTCTTTTACCTATTCTCTGGGGCAATAGAAATCTGGTTGTACCCCGAGTATCCATCCAGAAAACAGAAGTGTGATCTCCCTGCCAATCTATCTAACATCTGATCAATGAAAGGAAGTGGGAAATGGTCCTTCCGGGTGGCTAGATTTAGCTTTCTATAATCCATGCAGATTCTCCAGCCTGTGACGATTCTTGTAGAGATCAATTCGTTGTTATCATTCTTAACTACCGTCATGCCACCCTTTTTAGGTACACATTGAACTGGGCTAACCCAGCTACTATAAGAAATTGGGGAAATGATTCTCGCATCTAACCACTTGATCACTTCTTTCTTCACCACATCCTTCATATTGGGTTTCAGCCTTCTTTGGTGTTCCCTGGAAGGTTTGTATCCCTCTTCTAGTAAAATTTTGTGCATACAGTATGCAGGGCTGATCCTCTTTATGTCTGCCATGGTCCACCCAATGGCAGTCTTGCATTCCTTAAGTACCTGCAAGAGTTGTTGAGCCTGCACATCTTACAAACTAGATGAGATAATAACAGGTAATGTGGAGTCAGGTCCAAGAAACTCATACCTGAGATGGGCTGGCAATGGCTTTAACTCCAGCTTTGGTGGTTCTTCGATTGATGGCTTGGTTGGAGGAGTTTCTCTATTTTCCAGGTGCAAGGGCTCAAATTCAAGAGTTCTATCCCAGAACCCTCTACCCTCTAATGCCATCACCCATCCAGCCAGTTCTTCTCCCTTTACCTCATCTAAATTCATTAAACACGCATCAAGGGGGTCTTCAATAGTCAGCAGTTCATCATCGGTCTCTACGATTACATCCACGACATCAATAAGAGAGCAATTGGTGAATTCACTTGATCGCCTCATAGATTTCTGCACGTTGAATGTTGTCTCTTCATCGTTCAACCTCATCTTTAACTCCCCAGTTTCACAATCAATTAAAGCTCTACCCGTGGCTAGGAACGGTCTTCCAAAAATTATGGGATATAGTCTAAGATTACAAAATCTGCAGGGAACATAAATTTCCTACCTGAATCAATACATCATCCAGAATACCAGAGGGTCACTTTACCGTCCTGTCAGCCAGCTGCAACAACATAGAGGTGGGTCTAGCTCTTCCAATACTCAGGCTCTTATAAATTTCTAGGGGCATAAGATTAATGCTGGCCCCTAGATCACACAGTGCTTTAGCAAAGGCAAATCACCAATAGTGCAAGTGATTGTAAAGCTCCCTGGGTCAGACAGCTTTCCCGCAATTGCTCTAGTCACCACTCCACTACAGGTCTGAGTCAGAGTAACTGTGGCCAAGTCTTAGAAATGAAATTTTTGGGACATTAAGTCTTTCATCATTTTTGCATACCCAAGCATCTTTTTCAAAGCATCAATCAAGGGAATATTTACCTGGATTTGTTTTAGCACTCCAATAACTTCTTGTATTGCCCATCTTTTTGGTACTTAGCTAGACTCTGAGGAAAGGGCGCAGGAGGTCTCTTCTTTCCAATCATTTGGCTTCGATCTTTATCAGCTGCCACATCAACCATTGGTTCCTGTGCTATCTCAGCTTCTTTCTCGGTCTCCATTTGAATGCTACTTTCTTCCTGGGCAGGCTGGACTGTCACCTCTGTCAGTTTCGTTGATTCATCCAACTCAATGGGCACTGATATGAGTGTCTCATCCTTCTTGGCTTCTCGAGACCTTTCTTGCTCGACATCCAAATCTCTGCCATTTCGTAGGCTCACTGCCATCATCTGCTTCGGTACTTGATCTTTTGGATTTACCTGGGTATCTGCAGGTACTGTTCCATGAGGGCGATTGTTCAGAGACATCGAAATTTGGCCCATCTGCATTTCAATATTTTTGATCGCTGAATCATGTGCATCTACTCTCTTGCTAATATTTGCATTAGACCCAATAACCCGTTGCATCATTGCTTCCAGTTTAGCAAACCCATCTTTCTGCCTTCCACTATACTGCTGCTGAGGAAGGTGATACCCATGCTGTTGATTCTGATTATTGTATCCATGTGGCCTTGGTTAAGGTGCTATATTGTTGTGGGGCCTCATACCTCCCACATTACCACTGTTGAACTGTGATTGGTATGGCCTATACTATTGATTCTGCTGGCCCCAACTCTGACTACCCTGTCTCTGGCCCCCATAATTAGTCACATAGTTCATATCTTCAGGGTAATGCTGATGATCGTGTTCTACTTTCCACTGGTTACCAATTGGCTGACTAATGCAAGATGTGCACAAGCCCCCATTAGTAGTATCTACAATATGTACCTGCTACTTTTGCCCTGACTCTTCCACCTTTTTGGTGAATATGCTCATCTGTGTCAATAAGGTGGCCATATTTTCAGCCATTGAATTGGATGGATCTAAAGGTACTAAGTGTACCACTGGAGTGATTGGTGCATTTCTGGTTATCCATCCCAAATTCTATGCCATCTTGTCAAGCAGACCTTGACCTTCTCTCCATGTTTTACTCAAAAATGCTCCACCGGCTGAAGCATCAACAATGTTCTTCACGCTATCTAACAATCCTATGTAGAACCGCTGTCCCAACATCAAATCTGGAATGCCATGGTGCAGACATATGACCAGCATCCCTTTAACACGCTCCCATGTTTCATGCAACGTTTCCATTGGTCTCTGTTTAAAACTCAAAATGTCATCAATCTGTTGCGCGGTTTTGTTGGGGGGTGGAACTTGTTCACGAATTGCCTGACTAACTCCTCCCAAGTAGTTATGGAATTTATGTGAGTTTAACCAGGTCTGAGCAACTCCTGTCACTGAAAATGGGAATAATAGTAACTTGATTGCTTCTGGAGTTACATTGGACTGCCTTTGGGTTTTGCAGATTGACAGAAAATTTTTCAAATGTTGTTGAGGATATTCGATTTGTGACCCCGAAAATAATCCCTTGTTTTGCAACAAATGCAGCATGTTATTCATGATTTGGAAGGATTCAGCTTGTATCTGCGGGACTAAAATCGAGGTGGCCAGATTTTCAGCTGTGGGTTGTGCCAGTCATAGAGAGCCGCCTCTGGCATAAAAGGTGCCATTGGCGCTATTGGTACAGCTGGGTGTTCTTCGTGATATCCCATTGTTGTTTCTAATGGGTCAGTTGTTTGTTGTTGTTTGTTTTTCCGGTTGGCCCGATTCAAGGCCTTGAAAAATTTCTCGGGATCTGGTAATGCTTCAAATACTTCACCAGTTCTCGATGAGTTTCTAGGCATGCACCTGTGCAACCAAGTCGACAAACGTTAAAATTTCAATGTAAAAGTTGGGTATAGAGAGAACTAACTACACCAAGAATTTTTGTACTTCTTTCAATCGTAATTGATAATACCGTTAAATCCCCGGCAACGGCGCCAAAATTTGATCACGCTCAACTGTGTCTATTAAAAGACTAAGCGGGCATTGCAAATATAATCTGGGGTATTATTCCCCGAGTCGAATCTCACAGGGAATTAACGTATCAAGAGAAGACTTTAAAGTACTAAATTCTTATGAGTCAACCTTCTCAAACTTTGTAAATAACAAGTGGTGTTATGGTCACTACTCCAACTAAAAGAATTGATAAAACGAAGATTAACTACTACGCAGTTATAGACAATTGGAATAAAGGTCTAAGGTAATGGTTTCCCCCGTTGTTGAATTCCTTAGTCGTATGTTTCTTATAGTTATGAATTAGTTGTCTCTATCGATCATGAATTCTTCAGCTATCATAACTCTCTCTCAAGTAATTATGATAATTTACTAGACGAACTCTCTCAAGCTACACTTGCTAGATTCGCATTACAGTTCACTTAGATCGCACTCGAGGTATCGT